CTTGAACACGCTCAACCTGACGCGGTGGTCAAACACTTTGAGGCTCGGCTTCAGGATTCGAAGATGCAGGCGAAGTTCTTTTCTTGGGCAACGGCCAAGATGGCTGCACGAGATCAACTGAGCGATCGTCCTGAGCAACTCCTGAGGGTCCCTCGGAACAATGTGCCCTGTGTAGCTATGACTGGACATACTATGGTAGCTAGGTCCCCCCAAGTCTTTCAGTGTAGGGAATGTCTTGCGGTCGCCCGAACGCAGGCCAGTCTTGGGAAGCTCTTCGGAACTGAATGTAAGCCGGCGGCCCAGGAGAGGCTGAAGGCACGTGCGGACCAGCAGCTCCAGCGAGCTCCGCCCATGAGGTCTCACGCTGTGAATGTTGCCCTGGAAGGGGCTGCGGGCTTTGAGGGTGTAGGCTCGCCACAGGACGTCCAGGGTGCTTCTGGATCTGCGGGGCCTCAGCCTGCCGCCGATGAAGAGATCGTCGAGCTCCAGGGGCACCAGGCCTTGGCGCTGCCGTGGGTGATGGTTTGCACGCTTTGTGCCTCCTACCAAGCGTCTCGTGGCAAAGTAGCTAACTGTAAGCTGCAAGAGGAATGTCTCGGGGCGCCGGAGCACGGTCTGACCAGACATCGGCACACATATGTCATTTCTGCCATCGAAGCTGGTCGCCACCCTAAGACGGGCAAGTCTTTAAAACCCGTCTAATTTTCTCAAGTAAGGCCCGTGCTCCCGTCCCTCGGTTGCACGACATGGTCTGGCGCTGGTCCTCCTCCCTGCTCCTCCCCTCCTCCTCCTCCTCCTCCTCCTCCTCCTCCTCCTCCTCCTCCTCCTCCTCCTCCTCCTCCTCCTCCTCCTCTCCTCCTCCTCCTCCTCCTCCTCCTCCTCCTCCTCCTCCTCCTCCTTCCTCCTCCTCCTCCTCCTCCTCCTCCTCCTCCTCCTCCTCCTCCTCCCCTTCCTCCTCCTCCTCCTCCTCCTCCTCCTCCGCCTCCTCCTCCTCCTCCTCCTCCTCCTCCTCCTCCTCCTCCTCCTCCCCTCCTCCTCCTCCTCCTCCTCCTCCTCCTCCTCCCCCCCTCCTCCTCCTCCTCCTCCTCCTCCTCCTCCTCCTCCTCCTCCTCCCTCCTCCTCCTCCTCCTCTCCTCCTCCTCCTCCTCCTCCTCCTCCTCCTCCTGCTCCTCCTCCCTTCCTCCTCCTCCTCCTCCTCCTCCTCCTCCCCCTCCTCCGCCTCCTCCTCCTCCTCCTCCTCCTCCTCCTCCTCCTGCTCAGTTTCCTCACCCTCATCCTCTTCCTCCTCCTTTTCCTGCTTCCTCTTCCTCCTCCTCCTCCTCACCGTCATCATCAGCATTATCAGTCAGCATCAGCATCAGCATCATCATCATCAGCACCATCAGCAGCATCAGGATCAGCATCAGCATCATCATCAGCATCCGCATCATACGCATCATCATCAGCACCAGCATCATTGTAAGCATGATCACCATTAGTATTGTCATCATCATCACAAGAATCATTCATAATCATAATCATCAACATCAGCATCATCATCCTGATCAGCAGCATCAACATCGTCGTCATCATCATCGTCATCATCATCGTCGCCATCATCATCAACAACAACACCACCAACATCATCATCATCATCAGCATCAGCATCAGCATCATCATATACATCATCAGCATCATCATCAGCATCAGCATCATCATCACCGACAGCAGCACCAGCACCAACATATTCAGCAGCATCAGCAACATCAGCATCATCAACATCGGCAGCATCATCATCATCACCATCATCATCATCATCATCACCATCAGCGTCTTCATCATCATCACCATCATCATCATCACCATCACCATCACCATCAGCATCATCATCCTCACCGTCATCGTCATCACCACCACCAGCATCATCATCATCATCAGCATCATCAGCATCAGCATCATCAGCATCATCATCCGCATCAACATCAGCGTCATCATCATCAGCATCATCATATTTGTAATCAACATCATTATCCTAGCAGCGTCATCAGTAACGTCATCAGCATCATCATCATAATCATCATCTCCATGATCATCAGCATCCTCAGCATCATCAGCCTCGTCATCATCAGCAGCAGCAGCATCAGCATCAGCATCAGCATGATATTAACACCATCAGCATCATCAGCAAGTATCATCAGCAACAGCATCATCACCACCACCACCACCATCATCATCATAATCATCATCATCAGCAGCAGCAGCATCATCATCATCATCATTATCGTCATCATCATAATCATCATAATCATCATCATCGTCATCATCATAATTATGATCATCATCATCATCATCATCATCATCATCATCATCATCATCATCATTACCATCATCCTCATCATCATCATCATCACCATCAGCATCATCAAAAGCATCACGATCATCATCAACATCAGCATCATCATGATCATCATCAGCATCATCATCATCAGCATCAACATTAGCATCAGCATCATGATTAGTA